AAAAATTACTCAGTTCTGATTGGTCAAGATAAATGCAGTTTTCAGGTAATTCAGTGCAGAAGAGAGTTGATTCAGTGCAGAAGAAGGTTAATTCATTGCAAAGACATTCTGATTGGTCAATAATCAAAGGAACTCACAGATAGCCAATCAAATGCAAGCCATGGATGTCACAACAAAATTTGAAAATTTGAAGATTTGCAAGTGAAACAATGGCCGGTGTTTTAAGTAGGTTTTCTTTCGCCACTGCAGCTGAAAAACAGCTCAAACGAAAACACTGTAAAAAGCACTGCTCTTTGGTTGTCAGTTTAGAAAAAGTGATGTTTAGAGAAGGGAATTGCCAAGGAAATCGAAAATTAAGAGCCGACCCAGCTTACCACTTTGCTCGAGTGATCCAATGCCGATATGAAAAAACAAACATGGTTAAACCTCGGAAATGACGATTCCATTTCATCGAAAGTGATTCAAACACAGACTGAACAATTCCTTGAACTGTTTAGCCAGACTTTGAACTTTTTTTGCACCTTAAAGATGTGAAGATATCATGGCATATTATTGTTTTGATCGTATGCAGTTGTTTTGACTGAACACACAGTTTGAATAAATTATTTTTGCACATGATGTGCATGCTTTGCTTATGCTTACTTATGATGAGCTATCTCGTATTTTTTCATGTATTATTATTAACACGTAATCACATGATTTTTCTCGTGCAATTTGGAATAAACAAGTACTTGTTAATTTTTTTAAAAAACCACAAATTGCACTTGCCCTACGGGCTCATACAATTTTGTTAGTCTTTAAAAAAATTTAATTGCATTTATTTACTGCATTTATCTTAACCAATCAGAACTGAGTAATTTTTCCATGTATATTATAAGATCTACAATACTGTGATCTAGGTATATGCCAGAGGTGCTAAGCTTTGTGCTGAGGAATCCTCACTGTTAGGCATTAATTGATCATATAACAGTTGGTGTAATGCAAAGTGCTATTGTGATTGAATTTATTTCCAGTTGTTGCCAACTTTGTTTTTTCTTGCTAGTGGTTGATTGATAATTGAATGTGGATCAATGTATCTGCCAGTTATGTGAGAAGAGTGTGAAGTTTTCCATGTTCTCTTCTCTCCAGAAATTAGGAGTAAAAAGGAGGAGATATGAGAGGTGCAAAAGGCCAAAAATCTTCCAAAAGAAAGTAAGATTTATGATTAGAACGGATCAAATGATGAAAATTACAGATACAATCAATGACCTTAAGGCCATGTGTAGAGATATTCAAAGCTCTTTGCAGTCCACAAATAAAGCTTTTCAAATTTTGAGACATAGATATCAAACTTTGAGGGATTTCATGTCTCAAAGCAAGTTAGATATTGTGAAAGAATTCAGGGATAATCCACTTTGAGTTGTAGGAGATAGCCACAGAAACGAAATTGTGTTAGGTCAGGGAAGGTTTGGTGTTTGCAAGCTTACATGTATGTCTTTTTCAGTTAGTGGCAAATCTCTTGAAGTTGCAATCAAGTACTATACTGAATCAACAACTTAAGAAACTGATGTTGAGGAAGTCTGTCTTTTATCACGCATTTCTCACAAAGCATTTCCCTTTATTTTTGGTGTAGTTTTTGGAAAACTATATAACAAACCTCTATTAGAGGCTTTTAGAATTGAGGAAGGGATCAAACATTCATTTACCAATTTTAGAGCTCTTCAGTCACAGAGTATATGTGTTGAAAAATCATGGTTAGGCATTTTAATGCAGTGTGGAATGAGGGATTCCATTATCTTCATGGAGTTGGGATTGTCCAAAACAACATAAAAGGAGATAATGTTTTGATTTTAGAGATGAATAGGGCTGATATGCAGCCCAAAATAATATATTTTAACAAGGCATGTGAAGTTTGGAAATCCAAGGTAAAAGTTATTCCTTCTGGACCAGGAAGAGTTCGACTCAAAACATGACTTTTGTCATAAACATATTGATCCTACATTGTATGATGGTCTATATGCCCCTGGTCCAACTTCACATGTTTAAAGTTTTGGTTATAACTACCAAGTACAATTGCAAAGACTAAGAAATCAGAACTAATTGAGAAATTAAGTCTGACTTGTATGAGCAAATATAAGTCCAACATTTGAGACATTGCTGAGGAACCTTAACCCTTTAATTCCCAAGATCTCATTAGTGATTCTCCTTATTGGCTACCATATAGCTCTTGTGGTGTTAGTTTGGAGAATTTGGTATTGAATCAACTAATAATCCCCTAATTGATATTTTTCTTTATTCTCATCACTTGTCTGCTCAATATATTATATTAATATTGTAAGGAGAAATTCTGTTTTGATCACTCATGGGAGTTAAAGGGTGCAATGTACTTTTGAATATGAGTAGCGACATTGCATAACAATTACCATTTCAGTAGCTGAATGTACATTCTGCAAAACAAATTGTCAATAAACATGCTATTATTTTATTCAGCTGGTCTTTTTTTTTTTGTTACTTTAGGTGGAAGGTTGGATGTATAGATTTAAACTTCCAGCACATGTGAGTATACAACAATATTAAGTAAATATTAAGGAAGGATATTTGAAACAGCAAGTAAAACCTTTCACTACTCTAAGCTACTGCATAGCTATTATTAAACTTAAAAAAAGTGGGTGTTGTGGATGCATGATTCACAGATTTTTGGGATTTCCAGAGGTCCTTTTAAAGGTTAGGCTGTTTGGGAAAAGGTGTTTAGGTGGGGTATTCTATTAAAAGTCAACTTTTCAACGATATGTATGTCAAAAGTGTTAAATTGCTTGTATAATTTTTCATTTGATATTCCTACATTGAATCACCTTTTTGTACCAGAAATTAAAAATCAAACCATATTGGTTTTTAATCAACAAGATACTATAGGAAAGGGCTCTCAACAAGAAGTATTTACAATCCTAACAGTGAGTGTCTGTTCTACTGAAAGAGACCAGAAACTTGTTTAATTTTGGAGCAGATTATCAAAAAAGAAGAAACAAACAAACAAACAGAAATGGCCGTGAAATCAGTTTTTACACTGAATAAAAACATGCTATTCATTGCATGTAGCGTCACTTTTAATGCCTGTGTTGTTACACATATTTTCCTTGCCTGTAGGGCACAAGATGAAAATACCTATCAATCATGAACTTGCCAATGTATACAGTCGTGACAATAATTTTGAGTTGTTTGTTTTGGTCATTGATACCCAAGGGGGGTATGTTGAAGCTTCAAATTGATTGGCACGTTTTAGATATAAGGGACTTTTTCTTAATTTGCTTAGTTGTTGATAGTTGATCGCTCAGCAACCTTTTGGTTTCAACTTTCCTCTTTTGAGACTCTTTTGAGGTTAGGTGACTCATTTTTTCATTTTCATTCATTTTTTCCTTTTACAGAGACAGCTTCAATTGATGATGAATTGTCGCAGTTCGTTCAGCCCAAATTGTGGCCACTGGTGAATGATTTGACTTAGATAAACTATGTATAGTCTGTCAGGGCATAATTCTATGCAGCATACCACAACAAAGCATTGTAGATAGCATTGTGGCTTTGCTGTCGTCATTTTACTTATTCAATATGTGGTGTATAAAGACAGCAAAGCCATATTGTCTTTCCTAGAGCAGGCCCTGATGTGTATTGGCCAAGGCTATACTTCGCTAAATGACAGCGCTTTCGCTGATGAAATTTCAAAATTGTAATCATTGGTAGAATTCAATTTGTAATTTGAAAAATTGTATGAAAAAATGTACAATTAATGCTGGATATTCTCATTACTGTGGTTTATAGCCCTTTCACAGCTGTTTTATGCACATGTATTATTGTTAGGTTGCCAGAAAAAGGTCACAGTTGGAGAATACAAAATTTTTACATTGTCAGTAAACCATTTTTCCTTTATATGTATAACTATTAATCACCAATTGAGGGATTTTTGTGTTATTATTTTTACTGCTAAGGACTGAACAATGAGTGTGAATCAAATAGATAATTGGAACCATCCAATAAGATAGATGGAAATTGATTTTAGCCCAAATAAAACTGTTATAGAGCTTAAGTTAGGATTCATTCAGACTTCATTTGTGTTGCTTTGGTCACGGGAGGTGCTTTCTTTTTACATTAACAAGGGTTTAATAAGTCACCCTTTGTTGGCCTAAAATGTACAGATGGGAAATAGCTCAAGTGGGGAAATTTTCTGTCATACCAAAAACCATTTTAGTTTTGTTAAGAGGACTGTTTTACATAATTAAGGTCCCAAACAGCTCCTACCAATCAAGGGCGTCGTTTCAGACCTATTGCCGATTTAGCCATTAAGTTTCGTTTGTTTTGACCAGACATTGGCCCCACGAAATAGGGGCCACTTTTCACTCCCTCTAGGGTACACATTAGTTCTAGAAGGGCTGATTTGGCCATACAACATTTGACCTCTTTAAAAGCCAAAGCTACCCCTCATTTTTCCATATTACCCCCATTTTCCCAAAGTAGCCCCGTTAGGTAGCCGTTTCGGCTATCCTACACAGGGCCATTTCTGCCCTTTTGGCTAGGGCCAAACAACCATTTTTCAAAAGAGCCAAATTAGCCCCAAAAATAGGACTATTTTTTTACTCACTAAATGGCCCTATTTTGGGGGCTGAAACAGATCCTTTCAATTTATAGTGAAAAACCACTCGTGCGAAGCCTCACGTCTCTAACATGTCAACAACGGTATCATTCTACCTGTTTACACACCAATTACTTTCCTTCTTTTGACAAAATAACGTATAACCTTTCAAAGTTACTTCTCACTAGCTTTGACCGGTTTGGATAACCTCAAAATTCTTCACAACATTGTATCGCATACTTAACATAAGCTAGATAACTATATTTAGAATCAATTCCCTGGAGCCGTTTAACCAAATTAAAATTCTCTTCTAAACAAAGGAAAGAACGACAAGTTTGCATATGGATTATATCTTGTTTAGAAATTTGACCGCGTCAGGACTGTACCCTAGAAATAAGATTCGGTAATCTATGCTAATGTAAGTTGAAGCGTCGTTTTTTCAACTCGTTATGGGGCTTTTTCCTTCGAAATCGAAAACAGCTGCTCAGGGAACTCTACAAACCCAGCAAGCTAGCGCGCCACAGAATACTACTCCTTCGGTTGAACCTCAAAATCAAACCCAGGCAAATCAGGAGCCACAAACTGTTAAACAGTAAGTTGTTGTGTTGCTGGTGTGTACATAGTATGAGCATGTTCGCGTTACTTGATTTTCTTGTATCCAAAATGGTTTCCTTAGGTGAGGTTCGTTCTCAATATGCAAACCGCGCTGTTAACAAAGGGAGTCACCAAAAGTTCACAAGTTTGTGATTCACAAATCAACGGGAACCATTTCCAGGCTGAAAAACGCATTGTTCGCTCGCGGTGCTTGCGTTAGTTGTGTCAAGCTTTTCCTGTTCATTTTTACTGTTCTCTCAAAAGAGCCAAAACTGCAAATAAATTTGAATTAGTACAGGTAGCGATTTTTGTAACCGCAAGAAATATCGAGTGGATAGATGAACTGAGACACACTCCTTCCTCGTGCTTTTACATCTTTCGAAAAAATTATCGACATCCTTACTGGGATTACAATTTAATGTAGATCGCAAAACGCTGATATTGGCTGATAGCAGTAATGGGGGAGGTGGAGCGTCTCTTGCACTGGTCTCGTTTTGATAGTAGTAGGGCATGTAATTCGACATTTTCCTGCAATTGTGTTTGGAACATCGTCCTTGCGAGCCTTCACCCTAAGAGAGTGTGTTATGTCTTTCGCGCGACTAAAAGTGTTCCTTTAACTCCAACAGCAATCAAGCGTACTAAATCAGCTGATAATTCCGTCATTATTCTTGAGCATTTCGCTTTAGGGTTTCAATGAAGTAGGGTGCTACGCTTAATTTACTGTAGGGATTTGTCAGCCATGCTGTAGGTGTTTCTATTTGGTCGCTAAGGCCATTCCCGTTGGCTTGGAAACAAGCCAGTGTGTAATTGAAAACACGTAAAGCTGTCAGCAAAGAACGAGTCTGACAGATCGGCGGGACAGGTTATCCTCCAGGCTTAATGAAATATAACCCAAACAGCTACAATAATCCTCGAAAATCTAAGCGAAGGAAATTGTCGATTTAAGGGTTAATTCCGCCAAGTTTATAAGAAATGTTATTTACCTTTGAAGACAAATATAGGATTTTGAACGATCAGCGATTATTATTTTACTTAGTTCAATTTACAAACAGTAACTAGAAGTTTTAATTTTAGATTTTGCTTGACAATTTTACAACTCATTTGCAGTTCCGTCTGGAAATTTTATCCAATCAATTTTATCGCTTGCGCTACGTTGGTTGCACTTTAACAATATCCTGAGATTTTAATTGGACATGGTGGTGTTTTTTTCAGCGTCTTGGGAACAATAGATTACGAGTAGTTCTTTCTTTCGGCGAAGTTCGTCGCGCGAGTAAAAATAGTCAGGGAAATAAGAGGGGCTCTCGAAAAAGATGGGACCACAGACCTAGCTCGAGAGTTTGGCTTCTGCACTGCGTGCGCAACGCAAAATTTGGATCGGCTATCGGCAAGAAAAAAGATCATTCGTGTTAACGCTTGCCAACATTCGTCATGTTTACTGCGGTTTCTGACAATTGGTTCGATGAAGCCAGAGCAGACTGAGGCACTTTAAGCTCTTATCCCTGGAAAGGGCCTTCTGGAAATTTTGCCAACCGGATTTGGAAAGAGTTTAATTTACCAGGTTGTTAATAAATTAGGAAAAAAAATTCCGACTGCCAGTCATTTAGTTATTTGAGAACTGCGACAAGCAGTCCACCTCAGGCAATTTATAAGTGCCAACATCCTGAGCTCAACGTAAACCGAGCGCTAGACATGCGATATGTAAAACCATTTCAAGATCGCTGAAGGCAAATTACAGGCACTCACATGACAAAAGTCAACCCTTGATTAAATTCTTACAAGTTTCGTTCTTGAGACTTACCCTTACCGAAACATTGCACAGATTTCCAGTTTATTGTGCGCCTCGAAATTTGAGATGGTTAAGTTTTCGTCTGATTACCTGTGAGTTGCGATGAAATGAGGATTGATTCATAATTAGGGGTCAGTTAGAAAAGGACGAGACAAACCAAAGGGATGAGGTCGATACAATATGTCGCATTTCAAGCCATTGTGTGACTGCTTTGTTCAGCTAATCTTGTGGTACAGACAACAGAACTGTTTAGACAGACTTCACAATACACTGTTTAACTGTTTATTAATCACAGCGATTAGTGAGAGGCAAACAGGGCACATTGTGTTTTAAATGATCTGTTTATTTCGTCACGCAAGAGTTCCTGTTTTGCGTTACATTCCAAATTTCATTTATTTCCTAAGGCCACCCATGGGATAACCGATCGAAAGTGGATGACAACTTATATAAGAAAACCAAATCCTTTTCGATTGGCTAGCAAGCAAAATTATGTTCCAAGAGCGATAACGGGATCCCGGTTAATGACATACAGTTACCTTCAAATGAGAGAAATCCAGATATGAAGAAGTTTGGAAACGTGGAAAAACAATACTACAGGCTTATTTTTGTTCCAAAAGCCCATCATAAATATGTTGTGACAAAAACTGGAAATTAAGCGACAGTAGGGTTCTCAACCCAGGTCTACTCGCCTAAAGATTACATGCAAATCGCGCAAGGGACATTTGGTGATACTGCTTGTCAACTGCTGCCGCCCTACAAAGCAGGTGTAACCGCCCGTCTATCTTGTGTCTCTCCTCCATCGTCCTTTTTCATGTAAGTTTTAGCAATTTCGGTTCTTCAAGCAGTCACTAAGATACGCTTTTAGTGATGGAGGAATGCAAGGAAGGAATCTTGATTTCCTGATACTGCTGCTCGAGTACTGTCGCATTCAAAGCAGGCGTAACTTTTCGTCGCTCCTCCATCTTTATTTTGAGTTCTATCATACGATTACAATTGTGTTCTCCGATCAGGGTGCTAGGTAAGCTTTTAGCGGTAGAGAGGATATACTTTATATCAAATTGTTTTTGTGACTTCCAATCGAGTCATTCCACTAATTTTTCATCTAGCTCGTTATACTAAAGGACTTTCCACTGCCGTGTGCCAGAAATTTGTAAAGTACGTACATTGAAGTAAAAGCACACAATTGTAACGTATAATCCTGATGTGATGTCCACTTGTGGAGATCGCTTCTCTAGAAGTTTTGTTCAATGTGCGATTTGATTTATTTATTTAGTAGTTATCAAGTTGCCGAAAGATCGGGAGGCTCTTTGAAAATTCAAACAGTTGTTCAGCCGCATGGACGTCTTATGATACGTCAGTTTTCGCTTTCGGTAAATTAAGAAAGGTGTTCTGTCACCACTGTATTTAAAATCGACTGTGACCAAGAACATTTCACCATCTTGAAGATGTTTGGTACAGCTTTACTCAAAATTTTCCCAGTTATAAAAGCAAACCACGAATTGTGCTATTCGTCTTTGACTGGATTGATTTTAAACGTTTGAGAAAGGCAAAGACAGCTAAGAAGTTTTCTTATGGTATTTATATCTAAGAGGAAAAATAAATTATTTTCTTTACCAAACAGGTATTGTGGCTTGAAGAAAACAACCATGTAGAGATATTTATGATTTTGAAAGATACGATCGGTAGAGAAATATATTATGCACGAAATGAAAAATCGCGCAGAAATTAATGTGCTTGTCAGAGAGTAATGTATGCATTACTGTGTCGACTTTTAAGGGGTATGGAAATTTACGAGATTGAATCATTTGTGATAGATTTTCGGCAGCCATTTTGTGGTCACTCCACCCAAAATTGGCTGAGAATTTATTCTGTTTCCAAAAGAAGGAAGTCCATCTCTGAAATAATTTTCGGAGTAAACGAGAGCATCGCAGAAGAAGAATGTTGACACAGACTATCTTCCTTATCAATAAAAATCCCTTTATGACTGTAATCCGCTTGGTTTGTTTCGCACGTATTAGCATTTTGCAAGGCAAACAAATAATACTTCACGGTCGACCACATAAAGCCCGCTCGTTGAAATTCATTCCACGACATGCAATTCAGTGACATATATCCCTTGTTAATCATATTGGACTCGAAATCAAGCAAAGTGATTCGAAGAGTTTTTTATTTATCTCCAGATATTCCAACGGCGACGACATGACTTTGCCAAATCAGCTTTCGAGTCCTGATGCAAACCCCAAAATGCTGATGAAGAAGCACCTCACTCCAGAGGTGTACAAAGCTTTGAAGGATAAAAAGACCGCCGGCGGTTTCACTTTGCACGATCTGATAAACTCTGGCTTGGTGAATCTTGACTCTTCTACTGGCTGTTACGCTGGCGATGAGGAAAGCTACACCCTGTTCGCGCCATTACTGAATCCTGTTATTGAGGAGTACCACAGCCCTTACAAGTTGGCAGATGGCCATACATCAGACATGAACCCAGATAATGTTGATGCACCAGACTTAGACCCTGAGGGATCTTTCATTCGGTCTACACGTATACGTGTTGCCCGAAATCTCAGTGGCTACCCACTAACACCCAATTTATCCAAAGAACAACGACTCGAGGTCGAAAAGAAGGTCGTCGGCGTCTTGACGTCTTTGACCGGTGATCTCGCTGGAAAGTACTATCCGCTGTCAGGAATGGACGAGGAGACCCGCCAGCAGTTGGTGGATGACCATTTCTTGTTCAAGAAAGGCGATCGCTTCCTAGAGGCGGCTGGCGTCAATAAGGAATGGCCTGAGGGACGAGGTATCTTCCATAATGACAGCAAGACCTTCTTAGTCTGGGTGAACGAGGAGGATCAACTTCGCATAATCAGCATGGAGATGGGTGGCGACATCAAATCCGTACTCACTCGCCTGTGTCTTGCTGTGAACGAGATAGACAAGCAGCTGGGTTTCCAGCAGACTAAGCAGCATGGGTATCTGTCCTCGTGCCCAACTAATTTGGGTACAGGAATGCGCGCTAGTGTGCACGTGAAAATCCCACATGCCAGTATACACCCAGACTTTAAGAATATTTGTGATCAATATCATATTCAGGTACGAAATATTAGCAGAAGGCATCGCTCTCAAATATGTTTCTTTTATAGCTTGTATAAATTTCGATTACATTTCTTTTGGACGCTAAACTTCCATGTGCGAAGTCTTACATGGTGGTTAGAAGTAAAAGAGGGGGAATTTTCCATTCATTGTTCTCCTGTTTTAAGAAGCACCACTTTGCTCATAATTAGCCACAATATATCTCCCCAGGGCGAAGATACAAGCATTTAAGCCAAAAAATTGAAATGATAGACAGGAATGATAAAGGAATGCTTTGCATGAAGGCTGTGGACCGCATTTCTGGGGTATGAAAGGAACTTATGTCTTTGAAGCTTAAGGTATCTTAAGGATGGTGTATATTTTTCAGCCTCGTGGAATCCATGGTGAACATTCCGAGTCCACTGGAGCGGATGCTGGTGTTTATGACATCAGTAACCGCCGGCGCTTAGGTCTGTCCGAGGTTCAATGTGTTAAGGACATGTATGAAGGGGTGAAAAAGCTGCTGGAGATCGAGAAAGATGCTATTGCGTAAGTACTTTGGTTTGAAACTTTGCCCCACTTGTTAACATATCCAAAATCTGAAACACGTAGGACAATTAGGGGAATGTGAAGTTAGAATGGAGTTGAGTTTGCAACTAGTGGTTCAACATTAAATCGTTTGAGTGAAAGGGACTTTTTCCGAAGAAAAGTTTCTGAAAAAAATAACTTGATTGAAAGAAAGACTTTAAAAGTGACAACGGTAATGTAAGAAGGGTTCTTCTCCTTTGTTAGTGAAAAGGAAGCCATGTTCCCAGAAGCTCTCAACAAGCCCGAGGTAAAGTCTCTGCTGAAGAAGTATCTTACTGAGGACACTTTTAATGAGCTAAAGGATAAGAAGACAGCTAGAGGCTGTACTCTTTGGAATCAAATCAACTCTGGTGTGGAGAACCTTGACTCTTCCACTGGCGTTTATGCTTCAGAACAGGAAGCATATACCCTGTTTGGCAAAATGTTCGACGCCATCATCGAAGACTATCATGCTCCCTACAAACTTTCAGACAAGCATGTCACCGATATGAACCCAGACAAGGTTGAGGCTCCAGATCTGGATCCTGACCACAAGTTCATCAGATCCACGCGCATCAGAGTAGCGCGAAATCTCCAAGGCCACGGTTTGCCACCCAGTATTCATAACAAAGAGAGACTGGAAATTGAATCAAAGGTAAGTGTATGGTACAAATCCTGTTCCGAATCCCAAATAATATATATACAATTTTAATTTTTGTTATGAAAAGCGAAATGCAAAGGTAATTGTTGAATTTCAGACGGATTTCTGTATGACTGCCTGACAACCTGGCAAAGTTCACTGAGCCTGAACATTTACTGACGCCTGAGCTGAAATTCACATCACGTTAGTAGACCTGTTAAATAACTAAGGAGCAAACCCGGTAAATCTTAATCATCGTGGACTTTTCAGGCCTCAGTGATCGTGCTCAGTTTATTTTCACATATTTTTCAATGGAGTGTCTATCATTGCTTCCTGCAGATCGTAAAAGTTCTAACGTCCTTAACCGGAGATCTAGCCGGAAAGTACTACCCTCTGACTGGAATGACTGAAGAAACCAGGAGGAAGCTTGTGGAGGACCACTTCCTGTTCAAGAAGGGTGACCGCTTCTTGGAGTCCGCGGGCATCAACAAGATGTGGCCTCAAGGTCGAGGAATCTTTCACAATGACAACAAAACTTTCTTAGTATGGGTGAACGAAGAGGACCACTTAAGGATTATCAGTATGGAGAAAGGAAGCGATATCAAGTCAGTGTTTGAGCGCCTATGCTTGGCTGTCAATGAGCTGGACAAACAAATTGGATTTCAACACGACGAATACCGTGGAAATCTTTCCTCGTGTCCAACTAATCTGGGCACAGGTATGCGTGCTAGTGTGCACGTGAAAATCCCGCACGCCAGTGAACATCCCGATTTTAAGAAGATTTGTGACGAATTCCACATTCAGGTAAGGAATGCCTGAGAATTTTTCTTGCATTAGATTAAAGATGATTGTCAAACAATACAGAAGGGTATGAAAAAACATCGTTTTAGAGGATAGAAAGTGGACTGTAACAAACCCTTGTGTCACCTTGAAACGAGGAAGGAGGTACGCCAAAATATCTGCACTCTTCCTTAGAACCGTACCTGTTATTTAAAACCGAACGGGTTAACACATACCTGATCAGATGGACATAAGTGATCATTCTGTTTGCTTTCTCATATTGTAATGCCCTTTTTTCTGCAGGCACGTGGAATCCATGGCGAACACTCCGTGTCTACCGGAGAAGATGCTGGAGTTTTTGACATCAGTAACCGCAGACGACTGGGTTTGTCGGAGGTGCAGTGTGTGCAGGACATGTACAATGGCGTCAAGAAACTTCTGGAGATTGAGGAAGAAGCTCTTGCTAAGTCATAAACGAATCTAACTAAATTCCAGTGTTAGACTTAATGCAAAAGGGTCTCAAAAATAAACGTGTGGGAATTTTTCATTCAAAAAGTGTTTAATTCCAAATTACTTTTCTTTGAAGTGTTTGAAGTGTTAGCAGGTTGGGCTTGTAATTGTAATTTTGCTAAAGAAGTGATAGATGAGTCTGAAACAGGTGTGATTATTGTGGCAGTTTCAGCTGTGGATGTGGGTTTTCGAGTGACAAATATTTGAGGTCTGATTAGTGACTAGCTTTTCAGGTTTAAAATAAAGGTGATGATATTGCTGTTGTTATGTTAATTTATTTTTGACTCTGCATATGTACACAACATATGTCGTGAAAATTTACAGTGAAAAAGAAATGTTTTTTCTGTTCTTTTTTTCTGGAATATTATCCAATATTGTGATTTTAAGGCAGGCTCGGGGGGAAAGTGGACAGAGTAACTGTTCATTTTTTCAAGTCTCTTTGCTATGGAAACTAAACCTATTTTTGTGCCCAACAGGTAATCCTGCTCCTTTGTATCTCAGTGTCTACTAAGGCCATATTTTCCTTACGAGTCGTCATTTCTATCCCGAGAAACAATGGTTATTATTATTTTTTTTTATTTTTTTTTTTTATTTCCCATCTATAATCACAAACTAGTGTGCCAGTGCGAGACGTGAATATGAAAGTGATCAATAAGTGGGAATAAGTGAGAATCATTTATGGGAACTGCGGTTTTTTTTTTTTTAAGGGCGAGACAGTTAAGACTTCAAGACGGAGAGAACCAGTCCAACAATGAAAATTTTTTTGCGCCTCGTCACCTTAGCACCTAGCTTACACTTTAACGTAGGCTTACATTTTAGACAAACCACTTCCTTTGTTCTTACAAAATTGCCAGGTTTTAGATTACCGACAGATTTCCCCTAGTTAACACGCAACTCCTGCATCTGCTACACAACTAACACGCATTGAAAAGATCATAGTAAAGAGAACCTAGTTAAGAACAGGCAGTAAAGCGTCTATAAGTCTACAACTGTGCTTACTCTTTGCTCAGCGTGTCCTTCTAGAGGTTAGCTAATTGAGTATTGGTGTAAAAATATTGCGTTAAAACGTTTATCAGCTCTAAACTGACGTCCAGGTTTCCTGAGTCTCGCTATTGCAGTTTTTTTCGGGGAGTAGGAAACGGTCACCAAATTTCTGCCGCAAAGACATGAGTGCTTTCCTGACGTCTCCAGCAACCTGTTCTTCAAATTCCCTGAGCAAAGCTGTCCTTTTCTGTGTTTCAGTGTCATTCGTATTGGATACCAGGAATTCTACCTTATTAGTGGCTGAAATTAAAAAATGTTGCTTAGCTTAACTGGTGACGATAGGTTGATATTTCTGCATTTTTAAAAGGAAGAAATAATCCATCGCTAAAAAGTCACCTTCAGCGAGGTAAAGTCATTTCATCAAGTGCCTCAACTCCAACGCCTCTTAACAACCTTTTGACAGCAACGCTGTAGAAACTCAGTGGTGATTATGGTGAAGGAGACGTATTGGGCAAATTAAACGTCATTCGTTGGCTGAAAAATCTTTTTTTTCCGAGGTTTAACCGTAATAAGTGTCTTACTCATAGCCTCAAATTCCATACTAAACTCAAACTGGCTACAAAGTCTGGCGGACAGTACATAGCTAATCAAAACCATATTTTTCCCAGGGCAAAGCAGATAAGGAAATATCTCTTTCTTTAAAAACAGATAAACTTAAATCATAATAGTCATTTTTTTTTTCTTCCAAAAAAAGGCAGAAAAAGCCATTTTGTTACAATTTTGACAACCGCCTTCTAGCAATCGCCCTGACGAACGGCAAACGCCCGAAACGTCAGCCTTCAAACTCTTTACGGTGGCCAATTTGCGTTTTCAACTCAGTTGATAACACTAAATACCCTGTTATACTCTCCTACCGACGCAGCACCACAGTTTCTCTAGAAACTTACCCCCTTTATTCATTCGCCTTCTGGTAACCAGTGTGAGCTATGAGACTTTCGAGCTCGCAACAAATTTGGAACTATTTTTCAACGCCAGTAGACGTTATACTCTCCTTTGTTAGTGATGTTGATGGCCCATTTTTGTTCCAGTGCAAGTATCATCTACACTGGGGGATTGTATAAGAATAGATTGCGCCTACATTACTTGCATCCGCATTACTCGCTTGTTTTCAACCTCGCTTGTCAATCAAATCATCCATACAGCGATGTGCCGTAAGGAAAAGGTCAGTTGTGAGACAAGGGTTACGCAACAAACCAACCTCCTCGTTCACTTTTTCGCATCCGTGTCCTTCGGCACATTTCCCAGGTTGCACCGGAGATGAGAAAGAATGTGAGAATCCCCAGACAAGTGAACAAAGCTGGGTAAAATAGTAGACCTTCTGGATCTACACCTATTGTTTGATCACCTGGTGTCATTGACTCCTCTAGGCCACTCTGAGGTAAAAAGGAAAGAATAAAACAATTGAAAATGATCTATTTCAAATCTTTCGTTTTTCAAGTGCTGGCGGTGAATTTATTTTTTCTTAAACATTATACTTCTTGACGCCAAATTTGACGATAAAATGAGGAAGGTCATCTGTATCGTCCCGAGCCCTTCTTCTTCACTCACCTATCGTCAAAAAAAAATCAAGCAACTCTAACGGCTCTCACCAACCCATTGATATCAACGCTGTAAAATCTCAGTTTTGGTTACGGCGTATAAGACGTATCGTGTAAATCAAATGTTTGTTGTCAGCTGAAAAACGTTTATTTTCTCGAGATTCAATCAAAACTAGTTTGTTTTTTATAGCCTCTAACCCATATCAAACTCAAACCGATTTCAAAATCGCGGACCACTTGCCCTGACGCACAGTGCACAAGTCGGGCACACGAATTAGGTGAATTAGTCGTCTGTTTGTTTGTTTGTTTGTTCCTGTAGAACACAAAGGTCATTTTTATCGTCCTTGGCCCTTCTATTGACTGCCCGTCCTCGATGCAAACTTCTTCAAAATGCGACGAACACCAAAAATAAGCTCACTTGATTTATCACGTAAAGGAAAAAGAAACAAAACAAAATGTTGGCATACCAGTTGAAATTGCTTCAAGGAAATCATTTACCTTCATGGACTTGCCCATGTACAACTCAGCGTATTCATACATTTCGGACTCCTCCGAAAAGCGCAGGTTTTTCAAACATTTGACCAGGCTAACCAGTGAAGAGTTCTCGATCAGTGCGCCATATTCCAGGTATTCTTGAGAGATGACTTCTTGTACTTTGAATTCGTTTGCTGGGAAATAGTCTCGATAATGATCCAAGGTGAAGCTGTCCATGAGTCCTCCTTTGATAGCGAGAAGATTAAGTGAGTGTAATCTACTTCATAGATCCTGGAAAGTCTGTTTTTTTTAATGCTAAATACAAAGTGATATATACCTATGGCTTTCCCTTCCAAAATTTCTTCTTGGATCTCTTTAATGCTGTGGACTCCTGGATTAGGAAAATTAAGAGATATCACGGTTATTCCATGATCAAGAGTATTGCAATGGATAACTCAATCGATAACTGTGCGCTACACTTTTTCAGAGAATCATTATATTCTGTCCTTTAAGAGAGAAATGTAATCGTTTGTGATCACGTAACGTTTCGACAGCATACTGTTAGTCTTCTCCAAACGATGAAGTCGATTGAGTACGTGTCACCTATATGCCGTTGTGCTCAGCTGTGATTGGGTAGAATTCCACGGCTGTGATTGATGCATTATTAGATTATTTCTGACCTTCTACAACAGTACATCCTTTCGTTCATATACTTTTATGTCGCCAGCTTGATAGACCATTTCATTTATGGGCCACTTGCTACATGCAATTCTCACCTAAGGAATGAGTACGGGCAAATTCCATTTCTGGAGTTTTGAATTACAGCTAGAGTCAGCATTACTCACGTCTAACTTGAGCTTGTCTTTGAAAGCCTGTCGTAGCCTCAATTGAGCCAAATAGAGCCGCTACCTGTACAAAAGTGTGGAAATACATCGTATAATATCCCAAAATACTCTTCACGAGATTTGGTTTACGAAGGAAATTCATCTCAGAATTTCCTTTGTGAATATTGCATTAGCACTGAATCTTACCGGTCAGGGTCAAGTAAAGTGTAAGCCCAGCTAACAGTCTTGACGGATACACATTCACACTCATAGATGTATTGATTATTGAGGATCACTTATTAGATGGGAAGTGAGACTATACTTTACCCTTTGGTGAAAGCTATCGATTACGAAAATGGCCTGCGTCATCTTTAGCTTTTGACAACACTCTGAAGTCTATAAGCTTACCTTCCCACATTTCATTGACAATTATTATTAGTGGAGAAGAGAAGTTAGTGTTTTGCCCCTAAACCACACAACACAACGACCAAACCGGTGATATTATGCTACCCTGAACTTCCTTTTATGCAGTCTAGCACACCGTCACTGAGCTGCTCGTCCTCTACGATGTATTCAAAGACGGGCCTGAATTATTTTGTAATTCACCTTTGCCTGAGGGAGGGGAATCATAGTGTCTAAGCTGATTGTTGTTAGAGAGGTTGTTAGCATGGCAGTGAAGATGGAACACATGCAAATCCCAGTTAAGATCCAGACGATCGCAAACAGTCTCCCAGAGATAGTCTTTGGGCAGCGATCACCATATCTGAAGTAAAGAAATAAGTTGGATGATTTGCAAGATGGCTGACAGATTTCTTCGTTTCCACCACAACTAATAGTAGCTCTAATATTTCAAAAGATTTTACATAGCATCCTCTGTAGTGCCGTCTTTCAAAATGGTAGTTAGGAGGAAATGTTATGCTTCAGATTGTGAGTACAGAATTGCAACAAAAAATATCGGAAAAAAAACAGACATAGTGACTAACTATTGGCCTGATGGTAAGCGTTCTATGGTTTTACCCGACTGTTGTCATGGACACAAAAGCCCACCAAAAGCCTTCCCATGATCCTTGAACGAAGCTCAGTGGAAATTCCTCTGTGTTTTGCCTAGTATCCTGTGGAAATAATTTCGATTGTTTACCACTGATGCCGGATAGAAGCACAGATAGATAGACACCCACGCTTGCTGGCTGACTGACCACTTAGACTAACAGATTAACAGGGACTGAACAACTGACAGACAGACACATAGATAGAAATATTTGCTGACAGACCAACTACACACAGACTAACAGATTGACAGGCTGACTGATTGAATAATTGACAAACAGAGAGACAGTCAGAATGACTGACTGACTGACATACTGACAATAACTGACTGAGAGAAGGCTAACAGACAGAATGACTGACCAGATGACTGACAGACAGACAGGCAGACTAACTGACAAACTGACGGACAGATAAGTACTGTGGTACAAACAAACAAACAAAGAGAGAAATAGAACGATAGAAATACAGGAGAAAAGGAATGAAGGCAAACCTGCTAAAAGAAACGAAATTGCGATTACGTTTGTATGTCGTTGGTAAAATAATGAATTATGAATGTAAGGTAAAATCTACTAAGACAACTATGAAACATTTACAAACCAGTATCCAGGCAACGATTCCTGCTAACACCGACAATAACAGTGTTAACACCAGCACGGGCCAAGAGCTGAAGATGGAGGACAAAATTTTAATGGGGAGGTGTTTTCTGTCAGCCCTCTTGACGACAAATGCGACTCCAGTGTTAGGAAGTATGGGAACCACTTTGCTCTGAGAACTTAGGCCACTTTCCTTGTAGTTGAGAATCACGGGAAGTACAATGTCAGCCTGATACGCGTCAACGTATTTAATCACAGTTGATGAACAACAGCTTGATATCATAAAAACCAAGTTTACTGGAATAGAAAGTTTCTTAGAGTTAGTGTAGTGAATCACTCTGCCATAGCGAAGCCCTTGGGCACGGAATCGAAAAAAACAATGTCCATGGTTAAGACAATATGTGACAATACCCCAAACGAATAATTTACACGGCGCTCAAGGACTATACTTTCGTCCATTGGCACGGATTTACGAGTGTGTTTCATCAAAGATCAGTCAATGAGACTCTGGTTTTCAGTAAGCGGAGAACAAGGTGGTGCTTCTTTTAAGAAAAGTGTTTCTCTGCTATAAAATTAAGTTGCCCTTATGGCAAAGAATCGTGATAAATGTATAATGGATCGCAGATAAGATCATTATTGGAGGAAAAGAAGTGTAATTGTATTTAAACAGTGAGACGTCTGCTATAAAATATTGGTGCGATAAAATTGACCTCTCTGTTTACTAGCTACATGCCTAGTCTTCTATCAACAAATTTAAGGAAGTTGTGAGGAAATCATGGTAACTTTCTCTGTTCTAATTGTTCATGCTTGTTTATTCTAGCTTTAGCCTAACCTCCTCTGCTTTCGTGTGACCAAATGCACTGATTAAACTCATATCAAAGTTTGACAGAAGCGCTTGAAGCTTCACAGGGCATATAAAGCTCCCTGACTTTCTATCACAGATCCATAGGATTTCAAAAATATTTGTTTACACGTTTTAGATTTTTCGCCCCCAGAAATTGCTCTGAGTCGTGAAAGCCTCAGAAATCCTCCTTTTTAGCTCTTTGTGTATGAGTTTTTTTTACTCACATGGAAACAACCCATCGTAGGAAGTTTCATTACCGCTGACTTGTTTAATCACGTGGGGTTCTCGAGCAAGGAGCTCATCCCACCTGACTTTGATAGTATCTGGACACATTTCAGTTTTCCTTAAATCATCCATTATCATCCCATCATCTTCCGTGATGTTTTCGGCTGGAATAGATTTCAACTGAGGCGCCATCAAGAGAAAAGTCATTATGAATACCAAAGAAGCCATGTCTTTACCTACAAATAGAAAAAGACAGTACCTTTGACAAAATTCTCCATTCTGATGGCCTCTTACATCCCTGCTACCTATTAACACATTAATGACTTATAGCATGGTTTTTATCTCTGCTATTGGCGAAATTTTCCGGAAATAAAATCAACTTTAACATAAATGATTTCTCAAACTTGCAAACCTCAGAAGTAGTAATTTTTTCGGTTATTTAGTGACAACAATTCAACTTGTATGATTCAAAAGTTATTCACATGACCCTCGCAGCTTTGGCGGACTCCTTCAATGTTGTGGCTTGCTATTTATTTCTCTTACTGAGCTCCGAACCGCTTTGTGGAGCCATGCTGTGTTTGGCCAAGTCGCTATCAATATTTTTCCTACATCAAGATCTTTGAAAGATATTTCTACAAAGTGCTCTCAACTCATGGGATTGGCTACATTAAACGATTTCCTAGTAGCCAACAATTCCACATTTCCATCACACATCATGGCCTTATAAATACTCGATATCTATTAATCGAAGACGATTTATAAAATAATGAAAAAGGAAAGTGTTCCTACGGCGTCTGTTATTTTTTCTACAGACCGCACGCAGAAAATTAACGCAAGCCAGCTGTTAACAGCTGATGTTGACAGATTGATAGGCAATTTCCAATTATGTCTTGTAGATTGCAATGGTTGACACTTCACAGATATACATCTTAACGTTTATATTCTTAAGAATTCAAACTGAAATGTGTAATCGTTGACTTCCCTCGAACTATTTTGATAAAATTAACGTGCTTTGTTCATTTATAAAGCCAAATAACAATCCATATTTCTTGTTAAATCTGTTTAATGATATGAAACCGATTTGGAGATTAAAACTTCGAATGAAACTAATTTTTGTTTTTTATTTACTTTTAATTGAAGATTCTCTTCTTTTCCCAGCCTTGTTTACGTAATTGAATAAGAGTGAATTTCGCACATCGTGCCAAGCATCGTTAAGTTACTAGTAGGGTGGCAAAGTCGAAAAGTTGAAAACCTACACAGCCATTTTTATAATTTATGTGATGAGGAAACTGATAGAGAAGCAGAGGAAGAACATAACAGTCAAATAGGAGTTATTATTCTCATCTAGAAAACCGTAACGGTTATAATTTTCAGAACGAAATTTAGAAACTTAAAAACTCCAGTGATGATTTACGATTGAAAACAAGCTGCAACGAGATAAGAATATTTCTTACAATGTGTGTTGCAGTTTATTCCACAATGTAGTCATTTCCGATGAGAATCGCGTCATATCTTTTCAGTTAATTGGGCCGACTACTTACGTGTTACCATAGGAGAAATAATGCATATTGCTTTAAAAGCTGACAAATAGCAATAGTTTGCGGTCGAAACATAAAAAAACCACATTGAAACTCGCAATTTATCACGAAACAAACGATAATGTTCCGTCACCGTTATATTTAAGCAGGTCAAACTACAACCTATCTCACGATAAGGAAAAAGTTCGCAAGAGGGGATTGAGGTCAGGTAAGGGCCGTGGGGATTGACGGGGATTTAAAATGGTGAGCTGATCATTACAGGCCGAGGTTCGAAAGGAAAGACGGAGAGAGTAATAAATCGATTTACTGCCCATCAAACCTGTAGGCTATGGAAATGATGCACTTTTCGCCGTCTTTGTCCTTTCTGTTGACGTACCTTGTGTAATAGTAATAATTATGGTCCACACAAGGAATTATCTATGTAAAGATATCCCAATATTGTACAACTCTCGAATTGATTCGTTTATTGAGGTAGTTTAAATTATTATTCAAACGATTCAAATGTCTCTATATCTATTTGCATCAAACATAACACCTGCTCCATTCCTAATTGGTTATTTCGTTAGAAACTCTAATATTTGCTTTTCCCAATCCAACAAATTCGTTGAAGTCTATCTTTATGGCTTTTGATCGTTGTGATTAACCAAACTTAGGGAAACAATTTGTCAGTCAGAGCTAAGGAAAATGATTCTTTATCAAGGCAGCTCAAAGAGCAACGAGTGATGAACTAATTTGTCAGCAATCGTAAATTATGTGCCTTCTTTAGATATAAGAAACATTTTGCTCACTATACGCGGATATTAAAACAAAAAAGCCACAATATTAACAATTTTTATCATTGTATCTATGCGTAGTCCTTCTTCAAGTATTTTTTTTTCTTTTTTGTGGACTGAATATGTAATTATCGGAGGCCCCCTAGACAATACGTCGAGCAAAAGGTAGAGAGTCCTTGAATTAACTTGCAACTGATTCCGTGTGAACGTTTGGTGAATTAGATATGGAAGTAATTAAGTGTTTCTAAGCTTACCTTAAAAAGCAAACCAAGGGTTCAGAATAGGGTCGTATCGATCGTTTAAAATGGCGAGCGTCTAAAGATTCTCTAATAATCCTTCCAAATTAATATTCCTTTCGAGGGCCAACTCGCTAATAATTTCTTTTTTTCTCTTGAATTTAATAGCAAAATGCAAATTACTGCTTGATTACCACCTTTTATGGACACCAAATACAATGGCAAAAATTAAGAAAAACAAAAGCTTTCGAAAACAAATAATCTCCAATAATTGCTCAGTTTAAAAGTGTTTCTGTCAAGGCCGAACAAGAGTTCGTTTTTCTTATCGCGTTCAACTCGTAATTGACTTCTTGTACAATTAATTTTTCCCAAGAAAACATGGTAAAAATTACTATGTATGTCGAGGCCTGTTCATATTAAGGCGAGACCAGCTGTAAACGGATATGATTCCCCAAAATAAAGAAGTGATCCAATAACTACACATTATAGAAAAAAATGTTTCTCCATCACCATCAAACACCTCAATGTACAGTTTATTTACGTGTTTTTGATAAAACCAATTTCCAATACTACCACCTGTGTAGACAAGATCTGTTCAGCAAGAAATAATATGTTAGTAGTTATGGTAATCATACAATACTTTAATGGCACTTTCGCTTGTTAAGTTAAGGACAATTTTCCCTCTTTTAGCGCAGATAGAAGACAAGTGAGAATTAATAAATAGTAATATTAATTGTGAAATTCTCCAAGAGCGCTGCTTAGGGTTTGAGATCTAAGAGCACCTTACAGATAGAAGAAATGAAAAAAATATGCAAAAAAAACAAAATCATGCAATAAAACTTTGTTTAAAATTGATTCAATTAAAATTTTTTGAGCTCTCTTTTGAATGGAAAACAAAGTTTGCGCCTTTTTAATGTTCACTGGCAAGGAATTCCAATTGGTTTAGCTACCAAGAAACATCGAGCACTGATGAAGGCAGAACAAAGACATTACTGGTGGGTTGGAGCTTTTTCACTCAGTGCTTTAAGTGACAGTATGCCAATTAAGGTGAAAAAAAATTGGCAACCATAGCTCTGAAAATGCAGCAAACGACTGTGTTAAAGCAACTTCGTGTGCGCCATAACAATCAACATCATGATCGACACATACCTATTAAAGATCGGTTAATATGATTAAAATTTTATTGTTTTCTTGAAACAAAATTAAGTATCCAACACATCACAATCAAATTTTCTCGGAGCAGTATAATTGAAAATTAACCACCGGGAAAACGTATTTTACTTTTAGCCATGACTATGGCTTGGTTCAGTCACGTTTTTCGTCGTCAGATCTCACAAATTCATGAAAGAGATAATTAAGTTCAGTGCAAAACATAAACATGCAAGCCAATAAAAAAACAAATATTCATTCTTTTTGTTCGACATTCAAGATTGCCTTATTGCGTGGTGCTATCACTACAAATGGTATAGTGAATGTGGGAAGTGAAAAGTTCTCGAATGAAATAAAACTGTATGATGTACTACTTTTTTCCGAGAACTGAACTCCACTAGTATATGTGTTCGAATCCTGCAACAAATCGTGTTTGAGAACTGTTTTGTAACCAAACTTGATAAATCAATATGCCAAACAGCGAACGTAATAAAGATTCTTGTTATGACTGAAACATATTTCAATAGCAGAGGAGAAACGATACCTCAATATTTTATTACCTTATTAAACATCGAGCATCTTAAATGATGTTTTGACTATTGTCTCAAAGGAACTAACTCGAAGAATTTTGGAATCGGAAAGAAGAAAAAACATAATGAGTTCGGTGGTCTAAATGTTCTGTCGCAAACCTGTGTACAGCTGAACTGTTAGCTCATGTACTGTCGCTGTTAGATCTGTTCCTCTCCCAAAAGAAAATCTCCAAAACAAGCAGTTTGGCAACTGGATGCTGGCTGAGACAATAAATATTCGGAATACTGATTGTATGAATAATTAAAAATTTTTCAATACATTTGATTACCTTACGTTTTCATTTCTTTTTTAATTGTCAGCGGTGAACTCAGCTTCATTTTCCTTGTTAAGTCGAGGTTATAAATATAGACAAAGGTGTGTGCAAAATTTTCTTCTTACAAAAAAAAAATTGAGACGAAAATATTTATCTAGAGAAATCCTTTTTCCTTCAAATCAATTATGAAGCTCAATAACAAACTGTAATTGTCGCCGCGTGACTTCCCGACGCCAGAAATCGTAAATACCCGGACCTTAGCTTAATACACGTCGATCTTTTTGGTGGGCTGTCTCTGCTCTAGCTTAAAGAGAACTCACATATATTTCACCAATGAATTAAATCAAGTGTCGAAATGGAAGTGGTTATTCGCTACCTAAACCACTTCAGAACAGTACTCCTCTTCAAATTAGTTTTAAGCGCAATGTAAAAACTGTTTCTCGGAGATTAGAGAAGATTTATGACATGAAATGCTTTAAAGTATTCGAAGGCGCAACTGGTAACATGTAATTATTTTCTAGACAGTAATGGCAGTACTTTGATGGTCGTGAGCACCCGTTTGTCTAAAATGTAGAGTATATGTCTTGTTCTAGTTACAAGATTATGATCTACGCTTGAAATCTCTTTTATGAGTTAAAAATTCTACTTACTTAGGATTTAGCCTTCGATCGGGTAACTTTTCCACTTAAATTCTCGTTCAATCGGAGAGAAAACACAATTAGATAATATATCTGAAACTATAAAACCGTGCAGGACGCCAATCATCTCGTACAAATACCAAGCAGCGTACTGCGATCTGAGAATGGCCAAAGTTTCCCTAAATATCTATGTTTGAACTCTCGTTAGATAAGGAAATGATAGTTTTGATAAATTTCAACAACCTTCCTTTCTGTTCAGGCCACAAATTGATGATAACTTACAATCGGAGTACTTTTCTGCATTGTATTTATTGAAAAGTTTTCAAGGTCAGATACAAATTAATTATTCAAATGTGAGGTTTTCATTTGAGAAAAAGATTGCAGTATGATTGATGTGCTTCACCTGGTGGAATGTAAAAAAGGAAACTAGCTGTAGTTAGTTGAATCAGCCTGTTAGTGTGAAGTGAATAGCTATTTGACTGATTATTGATCAGACAACTATAAAGAATCGGCCTTTGTACAACTCCAGTAGTAACTGACAATAATGATATGTATGAGGCTTCTTAGTCGATTTGGCAAAGTTTTCTGTTTCAAAATATAAACAGGATTTTTCAGGAAACTCTGCCCCCCAAGAGACCTTCAAGATCACAATAATATTCTTTGTTAAATTTGCGCTACGACAACAGCCTTACCTTGAAAGGACGATTTCAACTGAAAAAACAAAGAATCTGTGAAATGAATCACAGAGCGATTGTTCAGCCAGCGACAGCTCGTAGTTAATACCTTTCTTGTAAGAAATTTCCAGAACACTGATTGAATGAATAATTCAAGATTTTGCATTACATTTGATTCCCTTACATTTTCATTCCTTTCGAACTCTCAGCGGTTAAGTCAGCTTCCTTTTCCTCGTAAACTCGAGGTTACATAGAAGCAAAGATGTGTGCACAATTTTTTTATTTAAAAAAAATCGTGACGGAAAAATGCTATTTCCTTCAAATCAATTATGGAGCTCAATCACAAACCTTGATCGTCTCTGCGTAACTTCCCGACGCTAGAAATCATAAAAACACGGACCTTAGCTTCATACCTGTCGATCTTTTAGGTGAACTGTTTCAGCTGTTAGTACCTTTCGCGTAAGAAGGATTTCGGTGTTTACGGTCAATATATACCACCTACAATCTCAAGTAATTTGTCAATGTCAAACCACTAAACCAAATGCGACGATTGAAAAATATTTGCATTTAAAAGAATGATCCCAAAGTACGATGACCAAACGTCTTTTAAATGATTAGCATTTATGGAAAAAAATTGACAACTGAACAAAAAGCAGTTTTGTCATTAGTGTAGTAAAATCCGAAATATTACGTGAGAAATTACACATCTTTCGGATTTGCTTTTTGTTTATCGCGATACTGGCTTATTCCCAACTGTTTGCACGACGTGTCATCTGCTATTTTTTCATAGATTCAGGATGTAATTACTGTTTTCAACAGAGACTTAAAACCAAAAGATGTATGACTACAGGTCTGGAGTCCCAGTATATCATCAATAATTGACAGGGCTTTTCGTTTTTCCTTCACGAAAACGTGCAGCATTTATCTTAAAGCATAAGACAATTATAATTTATCGCTGAAGTATATTTCAGGCCAGAAAAAGATGCTTTTTGGCGTGCACTTTTTAAACTCTCTCCTCTCCTCTTGCCTTTAACACCCTGTAACAAATTATTGTGGTCATTTTAGTGGAAAGGGGGATAACACTAACAAAACAGGGTTATTACAAACTCTGTTCACGCTCGCATCAGAAAATCACACACAAAAGGAATCAAAATCGGCCGTACACGCAGTTTCAATATGATTACCCGGTGTCTCAAAACTTTCAAACGTAAATCAAGGATGCATCAATGCCACAACCAGATACAGCCAGCTAAAGTTAACAGTTGTTACCATTTTCAAACATGCAAATGAATCAATTTGTGCCTGGCTTCCTTACAGCCTCAAACATTAAACCGCTCTTATTCCGTCTTAAAGAGCTAAATCACGGGCAGGAAATGACAAAGTTGCAACCTCTGATTGATAAAATATATTGCCTATGTAACAAACCCGTAACACACTCGGCATATAATAGTGTAACCCCCAGTCAGGGACGATTAATCGAATGTTATGGAAAATCAATTTGTCAATCAACTGTGGGAAAAAAATTTTAAGTCAGAAAGCCCTAAATGTCCTTAGACTGCTTGGCCTGTTACGGTGGGTCAATCACAGCTTGCTGCTTCGTCGCAAGAAAGACAAAACACACTAATGTGACCGTATTTAACTTTTTAATTTCCATGAGTGACCAAGAGAGAATTTCTCCTTACAATATCAAGCAGACAAGTGATGAGAATAAAGAAAAGTTTTAATTAGGGGGATGTTAGTTGATCTTATACCAAAATACCATCTAAAGAATTGTATGGAAGAGAGTAAGGAGAATTACTAGTGATATCTTGGGAGTGAAAGGGTTAAGATGGTAATTTGTACAACCTTATGAAAAGAAATCTCGTTTTAGAAGACTCAGTGCCGATCACTTTGAATTTAGATCGAAGAATTGATCATGGAAACGATGTTGCATACCGTATACTTAAAGAACGATAGACATCATTACTCACTTGGAATTCTCATTCTGTTACAAGGTGTCGGTTAAGTTGGAATTCATTCTGCTTCCAGTTATCTTGGTGACCGTGTTCCCGCTTTGGAGCAAATTGATAGGAAGGAAGGAAAGTAATTCTGGATTTCCAGGTTTCGCTTTATCAAATGATAAATGGTGCTGCAATATCTTGCTATTCTCTCAACCAATTAGACGCAAAGTGACGTTGTCTTTTGTCGTACTTAGCCACTAGGACTATAGGTTAGTTTTGGTCTCATTGCACTCAGTCGAAAAGAGCATTAAATTTAGACGAGCAATTATCTCAGTTCAGTCAGGTAAGTTTCTTTAAGGTCGATGCTTGCACTTCATCATATGACAAAGTTTCGGGCCACAGCCATAGTTTTGTTTCCCACCCGTTAAGTTACTTTATAACATAGCTAGTAAATTTGTCTAATCAAATTCAATTGCGTGAGCTTGCTTCATATTCCTATTATGCACGCTCATGACGTCAACAAACAAATCCCTCAAGGAAAAAAAATTTTCCATCGGGTTGAAAATGTTATAAAACAATTGGTTAATACGTCAGCTGTGCGTTCATCAAGATATGAAGCACTTGGGAAGTTTGGAGAGCACACCTCGAGCAACTCTTACGCATCTTTCGTGCTCTCTAAACTTCCCAAATGCTTCATATCTTGATGAACGCACGCTGACGTATGAGCCAATTGTTAATGAACATTCAGTTCTACCGAAAAATAACAAGTAGATGGAGTAAATCGGGAACTAATTTTTATTTCCGTAAACGAAACGTTTTACAACCGACGTTAGAACAAAATCAGAGAGCTATTGTCTACGTATAGAAATTTCATCAAACTGTTAGCAAAACATCAAAGTTGTGTTTACGAAAATCACTTATTTAATCCTAAATGTTACAATTACAATAAAAATTAATACTTTTAAGGTCTCAGTTATCAGAAGTAAGCAAAAATTCATCAATCATTTAACATATGCTTTCGATGTCATTTGAAAGAGCAAGATAACTATGTTAAAACAGGAAAAGTAAAAAAATATAAGATATACGTCTCAATGATCAGAACAGAAATTAGAATCAAAATACTTTCGACTTTCGTATAGTACTACTTAGGCTCCCTTTGGTAATATGAAAATGAACAGAAAAGCACCAACCTGTTAGGTTTGGCGATAGGTAGTGGTCTACACTAGCGATTTTTTGAGAAAATTTTTCGAAGGCAAACGATATTGGCTTTTGTGCATGGACTGGCAAATGTTTTTTTTTTGGTTGTTTTTTGTTTTTTGTTTTTTTTTTCAATTAAAACTCGTTTTATGCAGAATAACTGAACAACATATACGTGTATTCTGATGCGACACCATGGTAAATTTGTGGCAAGTTTGCGACAAGACGTGTGAAGCAACATATATCTCAGATAAGGGCGATTTCATCACACTCAGAAAATATAAGTCGTACTATTATTAGCATTATCCTAATAATCATAACCATTACAATTTCCTCAAATGCGATTGGTGCACAAACTGCTTTATTTTGTACTAATTATTTTGTACAGCTGTAATCGGGAAGTGTAACCGCTGAGGCAGCGTAAGAAAAACTTGGGAATTTCCAAAGTGGAGGAATTTTCAACTCTAGACATTGTTGCCACACAGAACATTTGTTCTTGATGTATTTTTTCCCAAATTTGTAATGGTTGTGATTAATTAGTAACAGGACTTAGTGTCGTCCAATTCCGTTTAAAATCATACTCGTGATTATCAAATCATACTCCAGCTTCGCTCCTAATCACTCCTACGATTACAGACCGAATTGGACTCCACTCAGTTGTATTACCATTGTTAATCGTTTTTTGTTCTTTTTTTTGTTAAAAACTTTTAAAGCTTTCCTTAACGATACTGTATGTCTAGACCTTTATACTATGTAGACATAGGAGAATTACCAAAGTTGTAAAATACTTTACATGTACACTACATCACACCCACTCTAAGAGTGAGAGAATATCTCAGTAAAGGAATGAATTTCTAACTCAATGAAAACTAAAATTATTACTTGAACTGAAGCTAACTTAGGTAGGAATCTCTCTGCTAAAGTAAGACGACACGTGACCTTTTCAACTAAGAGCTAACATTCATGGACAGACAACCGAACCAGAGGTTCTTTTCTTGCGTCCCAATTAAAACTTGAAAGTTAAACAACGAATTGACTAAAATATACTTAATTCAGCAAGAAATTATATTCTCTTGTTTTAAGTAAAATGCAGAATATAAAATTACGTTCAGCGTTCGCACCACATAGCAAAATTAACTTCTTACGTCTATTTTCATTTTCACACGAGGTTACTGCTGTTGTTTTTGTAATCTTTTTCGAGAATTTTTTTTCAACAATTAACATTGTTGACGACCTCTCTATTTCAAGGTGACCAAACTCCACTCAACTTCCTTTCAACCCGTGAGTATCATTTGCTGTGTAAAATCTGGTGCCCCTCAAGGTATCCCACGGTTAGAATATCCTTTCATAGGTGGCTCAGAGGCAGCCCTCGCATGAAAGTGCCAGTATTAAGAATGTTTTTGAAGCATTCAGTGTTTATCGAGCATTAGTCAAGCCCTTTGCGAGATCGACCCCGAAATTATTTTACAATTGTTTTTGCAATCTGTGTTTGAATCTGGTAGGGATGCATGCAATTATAACACTATGAGCGACAATAGTCATAAAGTTCGACGTTACCATCCGTTCAACGAACGCGAATCAAGCTGGCTTCTACTGTTTTACTTCATTCGAGGATAAGAATAGTGTACAGGAGCTTTTCAGGGACTATATACCAACCAGAGGGCCAAAAATCATCCAAATTTGGCAGAAGGTTAACCAGTTGGCCTTTTACAAAGCATAGCCAAAAAGTTGAATTTGGGGAATGGAGCATATCAACAAAGAAACACCAATTTCAAATCTGCCGGTTCACAAATTAAGCAGGGAAAATTCAGTCAAAACGAAACGCAGAAGAAAGATCTTCGAAGAGCTCCGCTATCTCAGTTTAGGATGGCAAAATTTCTTCGGCGAATAACCTTAGATAATTCGGAACAATGTCCCGCAAGGAGATAATATTAAACTACTTAGTTGAGTTAGTTATTGTTTCCCAGACGTCCGTAGTCATGTAATGATAAGTCAGTACTTCAAGCATAATTTTAATTTTCACTTCCATAGGGTGAGTTCGAGTCTTCATACAAATGACCAATCCTTTGGAAAGCGTTGAATAACTCTTTTTCGTGTTCGTGGTTGACGCAGATAACCTGAAATCCTGTGACACCCTTGACTTCAAGGGCACGACAGAATGACTTGTCACTATGCCTAATTCCCCAGTAAGGAGTGTTGCGGCAGTCTGGGTCTTTGACTTGATTTTCGCCTTCATGGAAAATCATGTCGTCGGTGACATAGTTCACTTCTTTCAAAGCACATGTGTTATGAAGAACGACTTGGTAACGCTGTTTGCTTGGCATGAAATGCGCACTTGGGTGCACACCTATGATATCAAACCTCTGTGAAGCTTTGTGGGCGATCGAAACCCCAGCAATGCGGTTGACTTCTTCACTAAATAAAAGGCTCCTGCAGCTCTCTACAAACTTTTTCTCAATTTCGCTGAGTTCATCACTGCCAATGTTACCTCCTTCACAATCTTTCGATATGTTCTCAGTAGTGAATGGAGAGTGTAAGAGACCTGGGCTATCCCTTACTTTCTTTATATCATCATCACTGAGTAATCTTCGGGCTTCTCTGAACGTTTGTGACCTTTTAGCCTGGTCAGGCCAAAGCGCCTGAGTTTGATCTCGGAGGTCATCCATGGCATCTTGGGAAGGCTGTTTAAAGGTTGTTTGCAGACAGTGGTGGAACACTCGCTGACCGAACAGTAGTCCTCTGGCAAACGTACACTTGTGCCATTTGCGGTCATCCTCGTTGAACTGGTACATGAATTTTATGTCATCATCGATTGTCCAGTAGAGATCAAACTTGAAGCATTCAGCAAGACTTTTGATTACTGCCCTTGAGACGCCAATTCCGTGTCCATTTCCAGGCAACACAACGTACGTTAAATTTATTTCCCTATCCGATGGTAGAGTCTTTCTGTGTATGGTCGACTTAATTTTTTTCAAATGTTGCTTTTCTACTACTAGAAAAATGTTAAATTTGAGCTTGCCTTCAAAGTTTTCTTCTATGGGCGTTTCATCCTCGCTCGCATCCCAAGGATTCTCTTCCAGAAAATAATTTCCTGTCCTTGAACGCTCTGGCCCGGGGCGGATGGTGGGAATGAATATAGGTGCCAGTTGGACCTGGCAACTTGTAAAGCTCGTACAGATATCGTCTATCAGTTTCCTTGTTGAAGTGGACATTGAAGCTGCGAGGACGTTTTGAAGTTCTTTATGCTTCTCTACGTGAATTTCTTTTTCAGGAATGGAGTTCGTTACCTCTATTTCGCACTTGACACGTGACTTTTGGAAGGCAAAAAGGCGCTTTCTAGCGAAATTCAAAAGTGACGCTTCGCTTTTCTCATCTAATTTAAACTTATCGTCAAGGGAAACATCAAAATGATCTTGGTCACTAAGCACAGTGAGTAGAGCTGACAGCCACTTTCCTTCATCCACTTTTAGGTTTGTTCTGGGAGGGTCTAGAGAACGTTTCTCGAGCTTTAATTTTTTTTGTAGTTCCCTCATAAGGTCACCTCTTCCTGACGACAGTTGCTGTTCCATGTCTTTAACAATCTCTTCGGGAGAAGATTTCGTTGCGATCTTTAACACGTCGTGAGAACGCATCTTCATTTCTTCAGGAAAAGCTTTGGTATGATCATATGAGTCAAGGGCGGACAAGTCAAAATGTGGATTATACTTACGAATGGCCTCCCTCGAAAAATCAATCACTTTTTTCAAGGGAATCTTTGAAATATCAGGTTTGCTTGCTAGGGACGTAATAGCAAGTAGATCTTGCACACGAACCATCAGTGAGTCACTTACCTTTGAAGGTGAACTATCCGCTTCTTTACCTCGCTCTCTGAGCAATCTACCAAGGACTTCGTGGATGAGATCTTTTAAATAGTCTCTGAGCGTGGTTTCTCTCATCTCCTCGGTTGAGTTCCGCCACTTCTTCTCTTGATCCTTTGTTGGCTTCCTTTTTTTCACAATCGAGGAGTAGAGGGGTTTGAATCTAGACGCGCTAAAAATTTCAATTTTGCTTTGGCAGAACACGTCCACAACCTCTTTAAGCCAACTTGCGATCGATATTGATTTAGAATTGTAATTATTCTCAAATAAAGTGATAAGGCGCTCACTGAAATCTTTAAGGGAAACCTCCAATCGCTTTTTGATAAATTCAATGGTTTCAAATTTATACAAAAACCCTTTGAAGACTCTTTCGAGGTTTTCCCGCTGGGTGAACTCTTCAGAGCTAAGAAACAAATCAATAACGCTTTCTTCCCCTTGGTCGTCAGATGATACCTCTAGGGGAGGGCGATGGCCTATCTTTATCTGCTCTGGCTCCTTAGTCTTTGCTCTACTTTGGGAAATTACTTTATTGAGCTCCTTCGCGAGCTTATGGACTTTCTTAAGAGATGGGTGGAAAGACTTCTTGATGACTACGTTTTCAACGTGGCTGTTGATTACATCCCTTAAGCGCTCCAAAAAACCTTCGTCTTTGGGATGAAATACAAGAACTTTACTCTCATCTTTTAGCTTCGTCAGTAGCTCTTCTCCACCGAGCTGGGGAAGTTTCTCCCTGGCTTCCCTGTAGCACTTATTGCTTTCATCATCGCCAAAGAAAACCGGCCAAGCATCTTCCAGGAGAGCTTTTTCGTTCTCGTTGCGCAGTCTCTCGACATCTGTAAATTCCTCAGCCTTTACAACATTAACTAGTCTTGGCCTAGATGAGGCGTCGAACTGTCCATGCTGTCGAAAAATATCTGCGAGGTCATTCGATTTAACGCCTCGTCCTTGTTGGCCACTGGTAAAAAACAAGATTATATCGGCTTTGTTTAGCTCAGAGGTAAGGATTTTATCCCCTTTCTCGTCGCCGCGGAGCCCTGGCAGATCCAGAAGCTGTACATTAACCAGCAATTCAAGGTGGCCGGTAGACGTTGTTCTTCTTTCTCCCAAATCTTGCAAGATGGTAAATGGGCCTTGTAACTCTATGTAAGATGCTTCATCCTGTTCCCACTGTGCAAAATTGCGCTCGATGTATTCCCTTACCAGCTTAGTGCTTTGAACGATGGAAAGCGTATTCCTCCGTCCCTTGTCAGAGTACCGTTCTTCAGCTTTTCCTTCTTTGTGGACGACCACTCGCATTTGTTTTCCTTTTGTAATATAGACGGGCAAACGTGTCTGTCTAACACCTTTACCCGAGGGCAAAGGTCCGTCTCTGAGCCTGCTAAATAGGTTATTTGGATCGCTCTGAGGGACTCCTTGAGTCAAAAGGAAGTTAAAGAGAGCACTTTTCCCCACACCCTCTACACCAAAAACAGCAATAGTAACCGTTAAATTACTGTGTAAGATTGCTGACTCGTGAAAGTCATTTAAACCTTCATAGATTCTCCTTCTTGCGTTACCTATAATTACGTTCTTTTCATTACCTCCTCGCTTCGGTTTCTTCGTTCGACACACGATATTCAAGGCGCCCTCCAAAACATCTAGGCTCTCATTGATTTTCTCTCCAAGGCCCCAATTGGGTCCGTAATCACTAAATGACATCGCCTTCCTCGTTGTGTAGGTGAAAACATCTGTAAGTTAAGCAACGTATTAAGGTCATGAGCTGGGAGACGTGATAAATCAGGGAAAGATGTTTGGCGTTGCTTACACAAACACATGAAACACGCCATCGTAGTGAACCAAGTAAACCATAAGGAATAGTCTGACATTTTCAAAATAAATTCGTCAAGATTTAATTTGAGTTGACCATTCAAGCGCATCTTAGGAATTTTTAGGGATAATCAGGTCACAAAGTTAACCACAAGTATTAAAAAATTGTTTGTTACTCTGGCTTTCCAAAGGAAACGCCCGAATTGAAAATCCCACTTCGTTTTTTTTTTCGTTCAGTTGCAAATCGCAGTCAAGTCTTTAACACGCATGCACGACGTTTTGACTGATAAGTATCGTGTAATGGCGGAAGAAGAGAAGTTATCTGGGTGCAAAATCAGCACAGAGACCGTGTATAATACGCACAAAACGCATACAAAATATGCACTTAGCATTTACGGTAGACCCAAACTAATGCAGGCACAAAAAACAAAGTTTTTTTCCAACAGAAAGCCCGAGTGAACGCAAATATGCGTCTAGTTTCAATTTGTTTCATTGTTAATTACACGAGAAAGTTTTGTTTGTGACTGAGATGGCACCTATTGCTCAATCGCGGGGAGGGCCGAAAGCCACTCAGGAAACGAAGAGCATTCATGCTGCTAACCCAATCACCTTTTGTTTTGTGTGACATACTTTCGAATTGTCGGAATTATGAAGATTTTAGATATATGAATTTCATATATTTGCACTTCGATTAATAGATGAAATTAAGATATCCTCGCAGCTAAGAACACTACTGAAACGAGTAGTTGAAAATAGGACCTGAAAAAATAGGACCTGAAAAAGAAATTCAGGCCCGTACGGGATTTGAATGCATGGAAAGTTTGAAACCACTCCAAATATTTGTGTTGAAACTGACAGTCCTAAATGTATATTTTTCTTGAAGGGTTCTATGCTTAAATCAACACTTTAAAATCAGAGGTTCCAAATTTGTGCCTTACATTTAGGGGTACTTAATATCAGGGGTCTTATAATTACAGTTAGGGGTTCTTACAATCAGGGGTCTTACAATCAGGGGTTCTTACAATCAGGGGTCTTAAAATCAGGGGTTCTTACAATCAGGGTTCTTACAATCAGGGGTTCTTACAATCAGGGGTTCTTACAATCAGGGGTTCTTACAATCAGGGGTTCTTACAATCAGGGGTTCTTACAATCAGGGGTTCTTACAATCAGGGGTTCTTACAATCAGGGGTTTACATCAGTGTATCGCATCTGTGTCCAGTTATTGATATTGTTCGTTGTTCCTTATATATATGTGTGTGTGTGTGTGTGTGTGTGTGTGTGTGTGTATGTATGTTTACTATACATATACTATATAATATACCATACTATACTATATACTACCATACCGCTACATACATACTACAAATATTTACTAAATATATACCTTTTCTTTTCTCGTCAAACAAGTGATGCACAATGCATGTTTATTTTACTTCAAATGAAAATTCCTTTTTTGTTATTTTGAGAGCGGCTAATTGAACTTTCTTTTCCCTATAATTCATTTTGTTAACACCTTTTTAATTGACAAAGAAAATGTGACTGTTTCATATATATTTTCAAATTGCGACGTTTTCGAAAACGGGTTCAGTATATAGATGAAGGTAAGGAAACGATTTTCTTTGGTAAGAATGGTCAAACATTGAAAATCATGCTTGTAGTTTATCATGAGAAAAGACCATCCCAACCTCCTTCTCTCTCTTCCCCCCCCCCTTCCCCCCCCTTCCCCCCCCTCCTTCCAAGCTCTTTCCACCCCAAAGCCACAAGTACTAACCATACAAAATTTGGAAGAACGAAAAGAATCCGTGGCCATTAATTGATAATCAGTTAGGTGAAAACCGCAGCGTTATTAACGTAAACTATGAAATGTCTCACCTACGGTCTTCTCTATAGAGGATGCAGTCGCCTTAGCTTTGTTAAGGTTAAGCTCATCAAAAGAAGACACCGGGAACAAAGACTGTGGGCGCTTCACAATAAGTCCAAGCTCTTTGAAATCTATTTCGAGCCCAATTGGCACAACGATGATTTGGATATCCTGAGAGGAGAGCTGCTCGTACACTGAGGTAAGGCCGTCGTTGTCTTCCTCCCGTTCTTTGTCGTATAACTGCTTTCCTGCGGTGAAAAGGATTACTAGGTGGTGTTGGTCTCTAATTCCCTTCTCAGTGGCACCGAGCTTTTTAGCTGCTTCTATTAGAGCTGCGTCCATTCTCCTTCCCATCTTCGCCGGCTTAGGTCTCAGGCCTCCAGTTCTCAGTTCTTTGAGTTTATCAAAAAAAGCTCCTCTTCCAATTGGATGGAAAGGTATGACCGTCTGGGCTGTCTCCCCATATAGCACTACAGCAGCAGTAGAATCCCTCGAGTCCTCGTTCAAGGATTTGGATAAATGCTGAATGAAGTCAATCTCCATTTTAAGTTCCTCTTCTGTCACACTTAAAGAATAATCCAGTGCAAACACAATATCCGCACTGAAATCTTCACTTGAAGCTGCAGAAATAATTCGAACAACACGTGAGGATAAACATGTACATGGCTATGTTAGATTAAAAAGAGAGTTTATTCCTACAATGAAGAGCTTTTTTTTCCATTTTATTTCCATCAGAATGTTTATTCCCGTCCTATCACTCCGTCGCCGAGATCTAACCAATTAACCACTCATAGTGTTATGAACTGATAAAATTTGAAGTGTTCTGGCTAAGCGTTCGGGAATGGTTTAGGCTTGTTAGGTTATCTTGGAATCCTTCCGGTTAGCCAGTTATAGTGTATTTTAGAACCAAATTGAGTAGTTTGAAAAGGGTGACTTGAGGATAGAATCTTTTAGCACCCCACTCCAACCAAGTAGTATTCAAGGTCGACGCGATTATTTCGAGTTTTCAGATTTTTCACATAGTTTACTGAGTGATGGCGACAATCTCACGTTTTAGGAGTTGATTCATGAATATCGAGATTTATTTTTTTTTAGAGGGCACGGTAACGAATCCTGCAATCTGATTGGTTCTTTACCCGGTCAGTATTTTCCTATCTCTGCCCACGGGCCACGGTAACGCTTTCGTTAGTCGCCGAGTACATCTCAACTTTCATTGCCATTTTTCATAAATATACCTCGTTTTTCCCGCTGGGCAGTATTTTTAAGCAAACACATCGGTCACTACCTCAAGCCGACTTATGAATCCTCTCTTTTCTCTCTCTCAAATCACTTTAGTTGACAAAAAAATATTGGTTTCAGAATGAATTTGTATAGGCAATAGTGTCATTACGTTGGTTGAAAAGCGGCCTAAAAACCGTCTGCAATTGATTTTAATCATTCAAAAAAAGTACCCAGAAAGTTAAAACGTGAAGTATTTGGTTACAGGTAAACTGAACAATGGAACTTTCATTCATTTAATATCTGAATTTTCTCAAACAATTTGTTCGTAGTGAAAGAGCGAGCGAAGTTGTAATTTCAGTTCGACTATAAATATACGCTCTCGGTGAGTCTTTCAAAGTCCGTTCAATTTGGACATTTGGACCATAAATTGCACAACAGAAACTGAAGGAATTTATTGAGAAAAGACCTCTTGTGTCTCGTTGAAGTGTGCCGTTCGAATTTAGTTTTTGTGGAGGAAAGACCAGATTTACATACGCCGTTGCAGCAGACAAACGAGCAAACTCTAACAACTTCAAAATAAAAAAAAATTTGAATTTACTCACAATTACTTTCCTGGCCGTTTACTTAATGAACAGAGGTAAATCTTCGTACATGAATGAATTGTCGATGAGAGTGAATAATACTTTCCGTTATATCATTGGTTGTTTTTGAAGAAAACATTGTCGCGACAGTCCTTGCCAAACTAGTTCCGTTGTTTTTCAAATCTTCTTGCGCTTTTTTTTTCTTACGCGCTCTCTAATTGACAGGTGTCAGATTTCCTATTTGTTTGGTCGCAAATTTACGGTGAATACTGATCATAGTTCGCTCAAGCGATTCATAAATGCTAAGGAAGCAACAGGACGTTTAGCTAGGTGGTCTTTGTTGCTTCAGCAATATGACCTTGACGTTTTTCACCGACCTGATGAAGAGCACGGAAACGCTGATAGCTTATCTGGGCGCCCCGATGAATCAAGTGCTGACTTGAGTTCACCTTGCTTTTGAGATCCTCAAGTGGCTTAAACTAAGGAGTTACAGAGACGAGACTTTGAGTTAAGTGAGTTAATCTATTTCTTAGGAAATGACGTAGTTCCCGTAAATGACAAATCAATTACATTGGTCAGGATGGTTTACTTCATAACTAAGATCGCAATCAGAAACGTTGCTTGGCCGGTTTACACCGTCAAGCAAATATAACTGGTGTATTGTGGTTTTACTGATTATCTTACTCGATGGGTAGAACCTTTTTTAGTTCCTAGTTCCGACGCGATCGCCATCGTTCGCCGAAACTAACAAGGGTCTTTTTGATAAATTGTTGCAAATGTAACTGGTTCGGTCCTTATCGAATTGTTGATGATCCCAGTGAATCACAACTGGAAGAAGCAGACATTCCGAAAGATTGTTTTGAAGTAGAACCCGCTGTTGTCTAACCTAATCAGAGTAGCACACTTGATCTAGCAGTCACACAACCGACGTTACAACACAAGCCAGTGGCTGTAAACAATCAATTCATTTTTACAGCTGAAAAATTCCTTAAGCGTCGCAAAAAGAAGGGTTAAGTACTTTACTCGGTCAAATAGGCTGAACAAACCTAGACAATTCCCAAACGCTTATCCTCTAATTTTGGCACTTCATAACGACAGATTGCAGAAGTCCCTGCTAGATGTTGAAAGTTGAAAGTTGAAAGAGAATAGCCTCTTCAAACCCATTGTCTGTGCCAGTTAGAGGTACATGTAGCTAAAACTATCGTGTAAAGTACAGGTCTAAACGACCACAAGCTAAGGAAAAACTTTCAAAGGCTTCCCTACCTTTTCTCTTTCTAGATCCACCTTCAGGGAAAATTTTTCCAGTTCCTGCGATGAATTAAAAAGTTAATCGCAGAGGATTCAATAGAGAGCCATGCATGTAAGGCAAAACTATGTTCTGGCTGACTACCTACATTGTCATTTATAAACCTCAAAGCAAAGAAGGAAATGCAAATAAGCGAACTTTTATCAAACTAAGCGATATAGGTTTTCTTATTCAATTTTGTTTTTCCCTCAGGAAAAAAAGACTATGGTTACCTGGGCTCCTTTTGAAATATCCGTAAATATAGTGTGTTTAATCGGTCTAAAAAACACGTTATGTGACCCAAAACGCCTCAGCCACTATTTATTTCCCCTCTATTTATCCTCTACAATTCCATTTTTCTTATAAAATTCTCTTGAAGAACGAAAAGAATTTTGCACCAGCCGATAAAGAAATAGAGAACTGATTGTCCTTTTGCACACATACAATATTAATATTACCCATGTTTAAAATGACATGGGTGGAAAAGACGGACTTAATAGTTACATTGGCCTTCTCTATCTTTTCATACTTTTAACTTAACTGCTCACTTCATGGTTAAAGCCTGAGACTTAAAATAATGAGAGAGAAGGGTAGAGACATTGCTTCAGAGGAAAAACTTTTGTACAACTGCATGTTTCAGTTAAAGTTTTAGCCTTCCTGTGTTTTCAATACCTTTGCTCTTACGGTTTGATATGTTATTTTGGCAAGACAATTTCAAGTTCCTGATTTCCTCCTTATAAGACAACTTACAAGTATAATTACGCAGGTACCAAAAGACCTGCAAAAAGGATAAGGACACCTGCAATTTTTGTGCAAAAGTGCATTTTTTATTCCCTGGAAGAGAGTAACATACCTTCACTATCCGCTCCAGGATCCATGATGTTAAATTTGCAACTAGCCATTAAAATTTGATTTTCATTAACATCCACTTGTATGAACACCCCTACGGAAACAATTAGGAAATCCTCAGTTAAATGGACGTAATCAAACGAAAAACAAGTGGGTAACTGTGTGGATAGGTCCGATTTTCCTTTTTTCTAAGACTGGAATCACTCACTAAAAACACAAGCTACGACGATTTACTCTCATAAATTATTCCTTCAATCAAGTTTGCCACTTACACAGCGCTAAAACTTAATTTAAAACTCGACAAACAAGTATACATCAGTACATAGAGACAGGTGGGAACCAATTTGAACGGTATATGAACGATCTAGGACTCACGCCATGTGCGTGGTAGAAATTCTTATGCAATGAACATGACCTAAAGCGAAACTTAAGGAGAAGTTATGTTGAGATTCATATCATATTTCGGGTGAAGAATATTTTATTCTCGAATCTAATTAGTTATAGCCAGTTAGTGGCTGTGTCCATCACAGCGGATATAAGAGAAATTGAAGCAAAGAGCAGTTGTTTAGTTATCTCTTTAACGATCAATCGGTCATTCTGGAAGTGTCTGTGCCCTTGGCTCTGGATGTAGTTAGTTTCCTTCAATCTACAGTCAGCGTTCCACAATGACTGAATAATGCCATCTTGTTGAAACCTTGAGATCTATGGAATCTGGGTGGGTCTAATCTTCTTAACTTATTTATACTTATTTATATTTGGCGGAACAATTCTCATAAATTATTATTTTATCAAGGTCGCCGCTTACGTAGACGTAAAACTTAATTTAGAATTCGACAAACAAGTATATTTCAGTACATAGAGACAGGTGTGAACCAATTTGAACGGTATATGAACAATCAAGGACTCACGCTATTAGCGTGGTAGAAATTCTTATGCAATGTACATGACCTAAAGGAGGGGTCATTGGGATTTTCGGTTTTGCGGTTTTGGCTATATTTTAGATCGGTTTTTCAGTTTTGGTGTTAGTTGCGGTTTGCGGATTTTCCGTATTTTAGCATTTGGTTTTCGTTCTTCGCAAAAGATATTGACAGATTTTTGGATTTGATATTCGATGCGGTTTTTCCTATTTGACCTTTCTGGGTTCCGGTTTCTCTTCGATCTGAGCGGCAATTACGCGCCTCCACTGATCTCGAATAGCCGGTAAATGCAAATGTTATCGAGAGGAATGTGTGACAAAACAATTGAAATATCGCAGAGATCCCTAGGTGGGGTGGAGAGGAGGGTACGGCTACACGAACACTGTCAGAGTTTCCCTATAAATGCTACCTCGAAGTTGGCGCGAGTTACAGGCCACACGATTGATTCAACATTCCAATAGAATCTCCAAACTTCAGGTCTTAGTTCGCAAATTGATTGGGTGGTGATTTTCGATGAAACTTTCCAAAGCTATAGCTTTTTGCGACTGCAAAATTGCATTCCTATAGAGGAATTAATAACTGGGATGTGAAAATATATCGGTTTTGACAGTTTTGCATGCGGTTTTGATCGCATTTTTTTACGGTTTTTCGGTTTTGGATGAATTTTTCTACGGTTTTGCGGTTTCTAATAGGCCCCAATGCCCCCCTCCTAAAGCGAAACATAGGGAGAAGTTATGTCGATATTCATATCATATTTCGGGTGGAGAATATTTTATTCTTGAATCTAATTAGTTATAGCATCGCAGCAAATATGAGTGAAATTGAAGCAAAGAGCAGTTGTTTAGTTATCTCTTTAACTCTTTATTGTAGACTTAAAAAAAATGACAAATGATGGTAAACTTTTTTCTTTATTTTTTTGTCAACAGTATTTACACTAGTGATTAGTACTATATCTCATTTGAAAGAGGACAAAATTAGCTTTTCAGAAAAAATATATTTTGCCTCCAAAAATCCATGGATTTTAAATCATGCTAAGAAAATGGCATACAATTTGCATAAATTATTGTACAACGTTTGACTTTGAAACAGCCTGGGCCTGAATAGATTGGAGTTAAAAGGAAACATTTCGTAGATAAAATATTCCTTATCTTATGGGCAAGACATCCAGAGACTCTGGCTGAAAAAGAACAAATACGGAATTAATTAGAATTTTTTTCCAAACTGTACCCCAAAACCATAAAAATTGACCCAGATTATTGAAAAATTTATTCCTCACCAAGTACATCACCCCAAGCCCAATTTACTAATCCCTCTTGAAGTCTACAGTGCAACCATTGGAACTATATTTCTTTGTTTGACTTCTGAAATTTTGCCTTGAAACAGGGACAAATGAGATAATCAACCTCAAAACACATAAAGCGCAACATATATCAAAAGCCTTTCACTTGCAATGCACCACCAGTATTTTCAAGAGTAAACAATTCAGAAGTGAAACCGGAAACTGTCATTTTATATCATTCCACTCATTCTTGAGCATAATTTGTTTGTTTTGTGAATTTTCAGCATGTAACAAGTAGAACCACATCTAAAAAACATACAAAACATATAAGATAATGTACAGGTCGATATATATTCAACTATCGTTTTAAAAATAAAAGATTTTATTTGATTTAGTTCGGACGCACACTGCGTCATTCGATCTGTCATCGGCTGATAATTTAGGTCGTTGCGTTCTAACATTCCATTGAAGATTATTTTCTCTGTCGCTCAAAAATCATGTTTGATCATAATATATGTTGCTTTTCATTCACAAATATACATTTACAGGTTTGTCTCAAGGCAAAAAACAAGGATTCGTGCGCGAAAAGTAAAAGTAAATGTTTCAACACCACATGCGTCACGCATTTAAATGTCGCAAGAATGTTTACAGATTACTTACCTCGATTCTTCGCTAGGATTTTCCAGTTTTCTATCTAATTCGGATTCCTCACCACTAGAGATACCACCATGCTCACTTCCATCGTCAAAAATTACCTCTGATAGTTCGGAGCTAAAACTCGCCATGTGATTGGCTTCGAATGTTTAAATGCTACAGCCGAAATTTCAGAGCGATCGGATGTAATCCGAGCATTTCCGAAAAGGTCAAAGTCATCGTGCAATTTTGCACAATCGGCCCCAGGGCTTGACCACGAAATTAACGATCAATTGGTCGATCATTCTGGAAGAGTCTGTACCCTTAGCTCTGGGTGTAGTTAGTTTCCCTCAATCTACAGTCAGCGTTCTACAATGACCGAATAATGTCATCTTGTTAAAACCTTGAAATCTATGGAATCTGGGTGGGTCCAATCCTCGTGAGTTAGATATAATTATTCAGAAATATTTGGCGGTTGAATTGTCATAAATTATCCCAACAATAAAATTCGCCTCTCAAACAGCGCTTAAACTAAACATCAAACTCGAAAATCGAATATGTTTCAGTATAAAGAATCAGCCACCGGTTGTGAGCAAAGACGTATTAAACGAAATTGACACCTCACCCTACATGAGCGATTGAAATGCCCATGTAAGACCACGTAACTTTCATGAAACACCCTTACCTCAATTGATAGATGAGGACATGTTATGTAGGGTCCAGCTTAACTCAAAAGATCACTCTGACATCATCGAGTCATACCAATTGCATTTTACAGATCTAGTTTTCTGAAGTACAGCACTGAATCGAATAGCGACGCGACTACCACAACGTTGGTCGTGCGCCAGCTGAATATGGAACTAGACACCCCGATAGGATATCGGTCTCGATAAGAATAGGGGTATGGGTAGGGGAGTGAGTATTACGCGTCTTTTCGTCTTTCCCCACCCCCTCCCCTCACCGCTGCCTCTCTCTCCTCAAATCTAACATGGCCGTTTGACTAGACGTAAGTAAGACGCTTACACTGAAGGCTACTCACAAATGTGGTCTGAAAAGAAGCAAAAAATGGTTTTTTAAAGTGAAAATAAATTAAAGACTTCCACGAAAACCTTTGCGTAATCCACTGCACCGCATTAGCTCTACGAGGCAAGCTCCGCTGGACAGTCTATTCACAGGCTCTAGGGTGCTCCAGTTGGGAGTTACTACATCACGGGCGACGAGCGGGGATAGAAAAAACGACCCAAATACGAGTGGTCAGCGGTGAAACAACTTTAATACCTCATATATAGACAGATCATTTGTAGTATCAGGAAACAATCGTGTTGTAAAGCCGAAGTGTAAACAGTTTACTTCGCTAAATAAAATGTTAAGCAATTCAAAAGTGTTGATTGTACATAAATCTTTTACTGCTTTAATAAACAATGAAGGCATCGGTGGCATCCGAAAGGTACCAAGAAGAATTAAATGTACGTTTTGTAGTTGCAGAAAACAATCGTGTTGTAAAGCCGAAATGTTACCAAGTTACACTTCGCTACTTAAAAAGTTAAGCAATTTTCCTCAAGCTTTAACTGGAACAATACTATTAATGCTCTATTAACCAACGGAGGCATCGGGAAAGGCATTGGTGACACCGGGAAAGGCATCAAGAAGAATGATATTAACGTTATGTAACTTGTTGTGTGACGAAAAAAACGTATCTTGACTTGTTCAAAGCACTAATCACAGTTGGCTTCCTTTTCACTTGAATTTTGTATCCACAACCTAAGATGAGAAATTTAAAATTTCTATCAGCAGAACTTCTTTTACTGCATATTATATCTATTCAATCGCCCCCCAATTCACGTGGAAAAAAGGCAAGTAGGAAAACACTGAGCTTCGAGAAACAGCCATGTTAAGGCTTATGTATTTACCATTCCTTAAATATTTATAATCAAGACCACTCGTTTAGGAGACCTTTTCTCAAAAGACCACACGTGCAAATAATTCTGTTTTCCGTTCGAAATGTTTTTCTCCTATTTCAATTGAACAACTGACTTAGCGTTTAAGCCGAGAAAAAAATCACAAAGTTTGAATTCTGGGATGTTGTCCACTGTTGGCTCCATCAAGTTACGATTCTGCACCATTGACGCTCGTGAAAATCTATCTTAATTGACTACCAAGGACTGTATTTCTTGTCTTGCAAATTAAGGTCTGTACATGACATTAAGTTAATCATCTGGTTCATTGTTATAGTCAGCTTTAAAATTTAAACTCTACTTGTA